CATCTCGCGGTTTAACCTAACCTAAAATATTTTTTAAAAAATACTATTGTATTACATATGACTTTTTTAACTCGTTTTGTTAAACTTTATGTAGCGCTTCCTTTATGGAAATAGTCAAGGTGAGTCAAGGTTATTGTTTAACTTTCTTTTATGTTTTTTCTGTTATTTTGTATATGTTAAAGTCCGTTCATGCTTTTATAATTGTTTTTTATTACAACTGCCTCCTTGACATTCCATTTAGGTGTGCCTGATGATGAAGTGACAGCTTCGAAACCGGTCGCCAATTAAATTGACTTGTGAGAAATAAAGGACCTTTTCTTTAACCCCTTACACTTAATATTTATTTCTTGTTGCGACAAGATTTTGGCTTTTTTTGGTTTATAGCCATCACTTTTTCTCTTTAAGAATGCTTTTAATTTTAGGTACTTAGAAATATCAACATTGTGTTTAATAAACAGAGTAGTTCTCAACATTGAGTACTGTGTCCACAAAGTCGAACTTTGTACTTTTGATGATAATTCATTCATATAGGCCAGTAAAGCATTTTCAGAAAACGAACTCTTTATTTGTTTCCTTTGTCTCCATTTAATGAATTGATCGTAAGCATATTGATACCTTACTCTGGATTTAGCAGGCAACAATTTGAGCAACGTGTTTTTAGCAGCTTCTGCTATTTCTGGAGGCGTACATTCGGAATCACTAGAATCTATTTTTTTGCGAGCTCAGTACAATTTTACAATAAAATAAAACTTTACAAAATGGCTGCTTGTGTGTTTGACAATTAATACCACAGCATACTTAATGTAATTTTTCAAATTTTTAAACTTTAAACTTACCTGTTGGGTTTAGTATAATCACAATTGCCATGAAGAATACGTTTTCCTTCACTTTCTTTTAAATGCATAAACCAGTAATCTTTATAACACTTAATTTTAAAGTTTGAATTATATTGTAGACACTAGTATGTATTTGAACACAAATCACAATAAACTATAAATATTTTTAAACTAATACACCTACAGAAAGGTGTATTGTAAACACTAACATAAACATAACCTCAAAAATTTACATTGTCGTATTTGAAACCAAAAATAACACTATAGAAGAGAAGAAGAAAATTATTTTCTTTCCAGAAGTACCTTTATAGAAAATTTTGTTTCAATATTCGATAAATAATAATGAGTAAACATGTTTTATTATTATTTTATAATTTTAAAAACCTATATAAAAAATTTTATTGCTCATTTGATATTATATAAAAGTTTGTAATGACAATTATAATGATAACTTTTTACTTCTCAATACACGTGTCTTTTGCTATTTTTCAATACGTGTGTGATATATATTTCAGTACGCGTGTGATATAAGCTACTTTCTTAAGAACAAATAAGTGTGCAAACTCATTTTCGTATGTGGTCGTAAGAAAATACATTTTTCTACTACGGCTCGTGCGACAACATTCACATTCGTCAAAAAAGAGTAACTTTACACACTTGTTGCATAAATAACTATTTTCTACACCCACATGAATACTAGCTTATCTACGCACAGGCTACTAAACGAAAAAGTATGCTATTTCGTTTAATTGAATATATTTCATATCCATTCTAGGTAGTGAGAACACTGCATAAAAATGAAATCCACCAATCATAGTTCATATTTTGTTTAACCGACTGCTTATTTTTAAAATTTTAAATAAGTGACAATTCTGTTAAACTAATTGTCAATATATTTTTTAGTTAGTTTTACAAAATAATTTATAACAGAATAACAATATAAATAAGGTATATTCAGTACAATAAGCACATAGTTATAGCATTCATACTGGCCTGGCCAACATTTAAATTTCACTTTTACCATTCTGAACTTCTTGGTCTATAGAGCTTATCGGTCTCTCTTTTGTACCGCCTTGTCGAGGATGGCTAAGAATCTCGTGAAATCAAGTAACTTTTTTTTAATTATCTATCTTAATCTTAACGATAAAATTATAATTTAAACAGCATTATCAACATTAAAGATGTAGCTATAAAAAATCACGAATACTTTTTTTTAATTGATACGTAATTTTTATGATATTGGAGTGTGTAATTTAAAAATCGGTAAGATATAGTATATCACATTACGAGTGTGGAAAATCACTTTTCACACAAGTGATGTACAATATTTTTCCTAAGACCACAAAATAATTTCATGAAAAAATGTAAAACCAGATTATTATAATAATTAAAATGTATTTAAAAAAATAATCAACAATAATCGTATTTATTCAATTTTCATAATTTCTAAACAAATAAAAAAAAATAAAAAAAAAAAAAATTAAAAAACAAAAAAAAAATTAAAAAACAAAAAAAAATAATCTGGCACAGCCAGGATTTGAACGCGGTCACTAGACGCTCTCAAATTGCAAAGTTGACGCTCTAACCAACTGAGCTAACAGGCCTTACGGTAAATGATTGATCTAATCGCTTATGCGTTTAACCAGAATAAAAAGCAAATATATTTTAGTTATTTTAAAATTATTTTAATAATAATTTTGGGGGTGGGTTGGCTCAGTCGTTAGAGTCATAACTTTGAGATCGGAAGGTCTCAGGTTCGAATCCCACCGTTGGCCGGGATTTTTTCATTTAATTTAATTATTTAAAATTAATTCTGATGCCTTGGTAGGATTCCCCACTCGACCATTCACTGTTGGGTTCTAATTAACAGTGTTGTTCCTAAAGTGGCGCTGGGAAACAATAACAAAGCCTACACAGAACACGAGGCTAATGGCCGTAGTAGTCGACGCCGATGACACCAAAATAATAATAATAATTTTGTTAAAGATAAATATCTAGGATCTAATTTACAACAATTTCAATAATTTAACAATCATATCGATTTTAGTATTAATATGGACATTACATAAACAGTGCCGGTTTTACATGGGTGCTATTTGGGACTTTAGTACCGGGCTGCAAATCGTAATAGGGCGGTGCGCAGACAGAGCACTAGTAATAATTTTATATTATTTTAATAGTAATAGGTACAATTACAATAAAATTTATATATTCTCACTTGCACTTTCAAATCTCCACTCTTACTTTTATAAAGTTGGCACCGACCCTTTTAAATGATGTGCCACATGCCATCCAAATTTTTAAGAATTACTCTAAAATAAACAAAAAATTAATATTTTAGCTAATATGGCTGTTATAGGGATGGGAAAGGTTCGAAGTGCGTGATACTATTTTTTTTTTTTTCGGAATCAATATCCTCGAAAACGTTTTAAGAGCGGAAATGTATGTGACTGAAACATTTCCTTGTGATAGGACATCGATAAAATCGCAACTAATTCTCTTCCCATTGCTTCCCATTCTCATAAGGAAAAAATAACAAAAAGGGTGGTTTTTGTCAGGTTTTGACTGTTTGAGGGGGTGGCTTTGCTTTTTCACTATTTTTTCGTATTCAATACACTCGAAAACGGAGGTAAAAGTGTATTTTATCCCTGTAGCAAATACTTGTTGTATATACATTTCTGACTCCTTGACTTCTATATGCAGTAATCAGTTGTTTTTTTTTGATAATAGATGGACGAAAATTACCTGAATCCTACTGGAGAAATAGGAAACTGAAACGCGAAAGTTTATAAACACTATCCCACCATTAACTAATTTTTTTCAAGTAAATGCTGCTTGGCACTTGTGGCACTTAAAGTACATTTAAAGGACAAAACAGGTGGGTAACTAAACAAATATTCTACAGAAAGTTAGTGAATGGAGAAATTTTACGTCGAGATTGGGCAATATATTCTGAAAGCATAGGTAATATGTACTGCCTTTACTGTATGTTATTTGGTGGGTCAGTCAACCAGTTTAGAAGAGGTTTTTCATCCTGGAATAGGCATAAAGAAAGGTTTAATGAACATGAACGATCATCCGAGCACTTAAACAATCTAATAAGGATATATATTACGCGCCCTTTTACTACTGAAATAATTGATAATAAACAGAATGTAACGTAGCAAAGGAGTATTGGATTAACGTATCAAAAGAATTGTTAGCGTTATAAAATTTTTAGCAATACTAGAGTTAGCATTTAGAGGTAGTAATGAAAAGATAGGCAAAGATCATAACGGTAATTATTTGGGTGCGATTGAACTTTTGTCTGAATATGATTCTTTTTTAAAAGATAATATAAGAAAAATTGCAAATCGTGGAAAGGGCACTGTTTCTTATTTATCAAAAGATATTTGCGATGAGTTTATAGTGATTTTATCAAACGAAGTTTTAAAGGAAATAGTGAAACAGATTAAAGTTAATAAGTATTATTCAGTAAGCGTGGATTTTACGCCAGATATAACCCACCATGACCAGCTCACAATTATATTGCGACTTTGTGATAGTAATGGATTACCAGTTGAGCGGTTTGTGGGGTTTCAAGAAAACGTTAGACATGGTGCAAAAGAACTCGAAGATACCGTCCTGAATATTTTGAAATCAATGGAAATACCTTTAAAAGATTGTAGGGGCCAGTCATACGATCATGCGAGCAACATGAGCGGACAATACTTTGGGTTACAGGCTCGTATTAAGGCACGAAACAATTTAGCACTTTATATATCTTGTGCCACACATTCGCTAAATTTAGTTGTGCAAAATGCAGCAGACTGCTGTTTGGAATCTACGGCGTTCTTTATGATAGTACTAGGAATTTACACGTTTTTTACGGCATCTTCATACAAATGGAACTTGTTATCTCAGTTTATAAAAGTTTCAGAAAACGAAAAACCTAAGATGGTCATCACGATTTGATGCCATAAAAGCCCTAGGACACAGTTACGCATCAATAAAAAGATGTTTAGAGCAAATACCTCAAAATAGAGAAGAAAAATGTGTTGTGAGAGTTGAAGCGGTTTCTTTTGCTGAGAAAAAAAGATCTTCTTGAAAATGGCATTCTATTAACAATTTGGTTAGATATTTTACACCGAACTAATGATGTAAATAAGGCTTTACAGCAAGAGAATGAATATGGATATAAATACCACATCTAACCTTTTATCTTCATTGGCCCAATACTTTCAATATTTAAGAAACGAGTTTGATCAATATCAATATGAAGCCAAAGGAATAGCTTTAACTGGAAACGAAAAATACACAGAACGGCGAAGCACTAAAAGAAGGAGGCATTTTGGGAAACCAAATACAGAAGTTATTTTGGATCCTAGAGAGAAAATGAGATCCCAGATTTACTTTTCAATCCTTGACAATCTTCAAACAGAAATTATTCATAGATCCGAAGTGTACAAAACATGTTCAGCTCTTTCTGAATTTTTGTTTAATTTAAAAAAATTAAGTGACGAAGCTATAGTATTAAATGCACAAAAATTAAAAAGACATATATGGAAGACTTAGACGAGCATTTTCCTCAAGAATGCATTCATTTCAAAAATTTCCTAAATGAACTAAACGATGAAATTAAAGTTGAATCTCCCCAAGATTAAGTAAAATTGTTGCATAAAAATAAACTAACGTCTTCATTCCCAAATTTAAATGTATGCCTTCGAATTTTTTTTTTCTATAATGTTAACAAATACCATACTCTAAAACGGGTGAAAACGTATCTTCGCAATACAATTGCACAAGAAAAGTTGAATTCTTTAGCAGTATTATCAATAATTTCAGATGTTTTAAAAACATTAGATACTAACAAAATAATTCAAACTTTAAATTTAAAAGCGAGAAAGCAACTTTAGTAAAAGTAAATGAAACTGTTGTATTTTTATACTTACATTCTAACATGCTAATCCACAGTACAACACCCATTTTTATGAATCTTCGTGAGTAGGTTCATTTCGACGAGACGCCCAACTTTTCTATTTGCGAACATTCTTAATAGTGGTAGCTAATAAAGTGCGCAGCGTAAAACGTGTCAATTGAATGATTCTCAAAATTTTATTACAAATAGGGCGGCGATTACAAGTAGCATCGGGCGCAAAAGTACCTTAAACCGGCACTGTACATAGATTAAAATAGAAAATATGTGTTTGACATTTCCTGACAGCTACTGCGGAAAGTAGCACATTGGTACGCGGGTGGAAAGTAAATTCTTATTCATACGCGTGTGATATAGGGCACTTTCCATAGGACAATATAGTGTGATATGAGTCACTTTCCTAAGTGGTCGTAGGAAAAACTTATTTTTTCAAGCTCTGAGCGAGAAATTATACGTTGCCACATTATAATCTTGTAAATTGAAACCAAAGATATGGATAGCAACAAACTAAATCATGAAGTGGTAGTCGATTCGGAATAAATTAAACATTTATTTCGGCACTTCCTGTACAATAGAATATATGAATCATTTACCTAGACAGCAGGTCGCTAGGGACAAAAACCGAAAGAGAATGTATACAGCTGATTAGCGGCTTTTGTATGCTGGTGATACGAAATGCGAGATTTTAAACAAAATTATTTGGATTTTGGCAATCCCGATGGGAACGACGAATACTAAATTCTGTAGGAATTCGGGAAGTTCGTTTAGGGTGGTTTTGAACGTTGAAACGGAATAACTTCCGGAAAGAGAGCAAACGAGAAAGCGGCGTATAGTTAGGGTCGCTCTAACTTGAAAATAACTCGTTTTTTTTAATTAAATTGGATAGGACAGGTGAAACTGTGATACACTTGAATCACTGTCAACCAAATCTCAAAAAAATTACCAGCGGTTTCCGAAAAGAAATAAAGTGAAATAATTTGAAAATGAACTAACGCTCTACGGCTATTTAACAACGTGTTTATCCGATACCCAAACTAACTGGCAAAATGATTATAATAAATAGCTCCTACTTTGAGTTACGGAGTGGTTAACGCTACGGAATAGTAAAATCGACTTTTTGGCACTATTCTCTACGGTGAACGGCAGCTGAGAGCCGACGGTAAACAGCAGAAGAAGAGAAGGCATTTTCTTGCTCTCGCATATGTATGTCCCACGAGCAATTCCGGAGTGGGAAAAATCACCTCCAGTTCACTATTTAAAAGTAGAGAAATAAAAAAACGTCCTTTTGACCGAACAGACCTAGATAATTTACATGATATTGACTGTTCAAATCATAATTTTTGAATTTCGGTAATTACGGAAATATTTTAAACTACGAGGGCTCTAGCAAATGTTTAAAAACGGGAATTCCTAGGAAACAAATTACGGGGGCTCTTCGAAACTTTTCCAGGCGTAAATTAATTAAAATATACATTTTTATAATTAAATAAAAAATAACATTTAGTGGCTTCTTCACCCATTTTAAGACATGAAACTATTTACTGATTTTTATCAACTTTCTGTGACAAGTTGTCAAGTACTCTAAAGGAATACTTAGAAAAAATAAATCATTAAGAAAAGGTGGAGATTTTTAATTTTGACTTTTGAAAAAACCTAATAAGTCTTTAGGCGCCCAATCTGTAAGTTGCTGGATAAGAAAAGGGTTATAAAAGGACGGTGGAATTGACACAAATAAAGATTCAATACTCATAGTACTATAGTAAAAGCCACATTTAGAATGCGCTGTAGTCAGCATAGCCCAATGCATTTTAAATGTAAGAATTCTCGGCGACGATGCCGGCTTGGCGCGGCAACGGAACAGATCCGTCTTCAACACGGTGTCTTCAGTGAAATAATTGTGGAACAGTCTTTAGCGGTTTTCATTCATCACATTATTTCAATAACATTTTATTACCTTATTTTAGTCGAAAAAGGAAAATAATCTACAAAAGATCATTACGATGGTAGGTGTACATATTTGGAATTATACACTGAAAATTCCTAATGATTCCCATAATTGTTTGCAAGGATTATTTATATTTCTGGTAAAACGGCTTAACGACCTCTTGTCAGTATAGATAATGACTTTCTAATGTATTTTTGGTAGTACTAACTATGGAGGGTAGAAAAAAGGAGGACAATCTTATATGGATCTTTATATTAAAAAGTGGCCACCAAAATGTATACAATTAAGATGGCGCACGTGTAGCCAGGGGACAAAATCCAATGCTATATAGTCATATAGATTGCTCATTCATAAGAATTATTTATTGTTTATATTATTATTTTTCAATAAAATTTGACTATTGTCGTGTATTGTCAAAATTTATCTACGATCACAGAACACTTACTCTTCTACGACCAGTCACTTTTCACGGTGTAGTTTTTAGTTTTTTATGGTTGAGCAATATTTATTACTATATACATCATTGGTGTCATTGTGTGATCTGAATTATCGACTGTCGACGTCCCTTGGGCACAGAAGCGCCATCTTAATTGTATACATTTTGAGGAACACTTTTTGTATACAGAGATTGTTCTCCTTTCCTCTACCCTCCATAGTACTAACATAAAAACCCAAATAGGGTAGTAAGCATTTGCATTTAACCTAATCTATATAAGATACAGTGTATTTTATTTTCAAAAACAGTTGCGTCTTCAACATGGAGTCATTGCCAGTGTCCGTTGTAAATTTTAAACAGGGTATGATCCTTAGTGTGCAAGTAAAGCATGTAGTGTTGAACGTGTTTAACTATCACCTGAACTTAAACAATGGCGAAAGTTTGTCAGCAATTAAGGAGAAGGTTTCCAAAATGTGCGGTGTGTCTGCCCGCACAGTTTTAAATATTCGCAGCGATGCTCAAAAAGGTGAATTGACAGTGCCACGAAAAACGAAAAGGGGCGTTTCTAAATGTAATTCACGTGAAATTTACACACGACGAGGGAACCAGGTCCAGAATTAGAAAAACTATTGATTTCTTCTTGGAAAATCTTCCACCTACAGTTGACAAAATTCTGGATAGAGTGAATGAGGACAATGACTTTCCAAAATTTTTCTAAAACAACTTTTCGAAGATTGCTGAGTGACATAGGGTTTGTCTATGGTAAAAGAGGTAGAGACTTTCTCTTGATGGAAAGAAAGGATATTATTACATGGAGACACAGGTATCTTAGGCAAATCAAGGCATTAAGAGAGAAGAATGTGAACCTCATTTATACGGATGAATCGTGGACGAACATTGGTGCGTTTGTAAAAAAAGAATGGAAAGACACGACCATAAAAAATCGTCGAGATGCTATTGTGAAAGGGCTAACCACGGGACTGAAAGCTCCAACTCAAAGGGGACCTCGTTTCGTACTATTGCATGCTGGAACTGAAAAAGGCTTTGTGGATGGAGCAGAATTAACATTCCTGGCTAAAAAGGGGGCAGAGGATTACCATGACGAAATGGATGGTGACTTATATGAAGATTGGTTCGAGCGTACGCTAATTCCAAGCTTGCCGAAAGACAAAGAAAACGTTGTTGTTTTGGACAATGCGTCTTATCACTCACGTAAGTTTGATTTCCCCAAGAAAGCATGGAATAAAGCACAAATCCAGGCATGGTTGATAAAAAAGGACATTTTCTTCGGGGAAGACTATTTAAAAAATGAGCTGATCGATACGGCTAATGCATATAAAGCACAATACGATCAATATAAAATAGAAGCAATAGCGAAAAAGCATAATATTTATATCTTGAGGCTGCCACCATATCACTGCGAGCTAAATCCAATTGAAATGGTATGGAGTCAAGTGAAAAGATATGTAGCTTCACACAATACAGATTTTAAACATCAAACGGTAGAATACTTGATTAAAGAAGCTTACCGACAAGTGCGTAAAGAGCAATGGAGCAATTATGTAAACCACGTTAAAAAAGTCGAGAAGGCCATGTGGAAAGTAGATACGTTACAAGATGATATAGAACCTATAATAGTTAACTTGGAAGACTCCGATGACGAATTTGATGAGGACGACGATGAAAATGACCCACCGCAAAATTTTCATAATAATAATTAATTCTATTTGTAAAGACTTATTTAATCGTATAATATTAATTTAATGTGTATATATTTTTGCTTATTCTGAAGATGGCATAAAAAGACGAAACTTCAATATACTAAACTTTTAATTCATAGTTAAATTTAATTTTGTTGTTAAAAATTGAGTAATCGTATGGGGAAAAAATAAATATGCCATTCTTTGTGTACATTTTATTTAATTTTTTTTTATAATAAATTGCTTGTATGTTTCTTATTAACAGTCAGAGATACATATAACCATCAATAAATTTTGCCAATGCCTCGAACGAAACGCAGAATCGTCTAAGCAGCTTGATATGGTCCCTGGCGTGCTCAATCTTCCGACTACCTGACATCGGCAGCAACCCTGCGCTCCATAAGTCCCATAGTGCATTCTAAATGTGGCTTTTACTATTGGCGATTCAAATTAATGTTCGTGCGCCTGTCATTTGTCACTTATAAGTAGGATGTTTGTTTATTTACATGATTTTGTTTTGGGGGAATTTTGTATTTGTGATTGTTTTAACAGTTTTTA